ACATTGTTAGGAATAAAGTTCATTAATGACAGAATATCAAACATTTGTGAAAGTGAATGAAGATTTGCACTACCAAGGATTTTATGTGTGTGTGGAATGTGATAAACTGATTCTAAAATTTGTATGAAAATGCAAAGGCCAAAAAGTATCCAAGCCACTTTGAAGAATAGGATGGCAGGCCTTGCTCCAGCCTTCTCGTAAAGGTACCATGAATAAGGCACTGTAATATTAGCACTAATGGGTTAACGGAATTGAAGAGAGAACTCAGAAAGTAATAGACATAGATGTTTGATATACGGCAGAAGTGCACCAAGGAGCAGCTGGGAAAGACGGTCTTTGAGCTCCACAATGCCAGGACCAGCAGCTGCCCTGGAGAACTCCTCCCTCATGAATACGTGAATATCTTCGAGGTAGAATCAAAGATCTAAATGTGAAAGCCAAAATTACAAACTATTTTTTAACTATAAAGATTTTAAGAGATAAGAGAATATCTTCATGACTTCAGGATAGGAAAAGATTCCTTAAAATAAGACATAAAAGGCACTGAACATAAAAGGTTGATAGATTTGCCATTAAAATTAAGAATTTGTTTTTTTACCAATACATCATGAAGAGATTGAAAAGTAATCCCCAGAAAGGGAGAGGATATTTACAATAAATATACCAAATACCAAATTCTTTGATTGAATACCAAACATTAGTATGCGGAATATATTCTATAAATCAATGAGAAAAAAGACAGCTGACACAACACAATAGAAAAATAGACAAAAGAACTCCAACAGGCACTTTTCAAATAAAGAAATCTAGTGGCCAATAAACATGAAGATGCTCATATGCCATTCCTAATTAGGGAAATGCAAAATAAAACCACAATATATAGCTACTTTAGGAACATCATGTTGGCTAAAATTAAAGTAAAATGTTGGCCAACTGGAACTCTCACATGCTGAAAGTGGTGGTAGGAATATACAATGTTAGATATGCATACCTTATAACCCAGCAATTCCACGCCTAGGTATATATCCTATAGAAATGTGTTTATGTGAGCAAAGGTGCTCAATGCAGCATTGATTATAACAGCCAAAAACTGAAAATATCAACATAGTGCCCATCACAGTAGAATAGTGGTATTAATGAAATGGCACATTATACAGCAATGAAAATGAATAAGCCATACCCATGTGTGACATGGATCTTACAAGAAATGTTGAGCGAAAGACACCAGACACAACATATAGTATGATTCTATTTTTATATAAGCCAAAAGTAAGCAAAATTAACCATATTGTTTCATACATAACTGGTAAAATGATTTTTTAAAAGTGGGGGGAGAATTATCATAAAGTGTAGTTACTTTAAAATCATAAAGGATTTTAAAGGATAGTTACTTCTAGGGGATAGAGAGGGTGTCAAAAGGGAACACGCAGGGAGATTCCAGAGTGCTGGCAGTATTTTCTCTGCGTCTGGTTTGTGATTACATAGCTATTGCTTTATCCAGCAAACTGCACATTTGCTTTTGTACTTTTCTGTAGGTTATATTTCACAAAACTTAAAAGAAAAAAAGGAGGTCTTATACTACTGAATGTTAACATCATTAAGGCCATGATTATCAATTGTGTGGAAAAAATTAGAAGGCCCAAGAATAGGCCCAAGACACAAAAGATACACAGGAATTTAACATACTATAAAAATAGCATTACAAATCAGAGGGTAGTGATTTATGATATCAAAACAATTGGTAAACTCTTTGCAAAAATTAAAATCAAATTTGTCTCATACAATGTCCTCGAATAAATTTCAGATGCATTAAAATTTTCCTTTTTACTCCAAAGTTGTGCAGATTAAATGAGTTAATGTATATAAACAAAAATTCCTTTTGAATTAAAGTGTAAAAACTGAAATAAAAAAATAGAAGAAAATAAGGATATTTATCCATTCTTGGGTTAGGAAAAGCATACAAGAGCAGACTCCTAAAAAAAAAAAAAAACTGCTACATTGAAATACCATAAACTATATTAAAAGGCAAATAACACACTAAAATAAAAAAATAGAAGAAAATAAGGATATTTATCCATTCTTGGGTTAGGAAAAGCATACAACAGCAAACTCCTAAAAAAAAAAAAACTGCTACATTGAAATACCATAAACTATATTAAAAGGCAAATAACACACTAAAAAAATAGTTACAATACATGACAAAGGAGGGACACTTAATTCACAAAGAACTCACAAACCAAGAAAAAGAGCAAGTGCTCCAAGAAAATAACAGAAAAAATATGAAAGAGCAATTCTCAAAAGAGTATAAAATGGCCAATGAACATGAAAAAACACTCAGCCTTCACTAAGTAATCAAAACAATACACATATTTTTAAATGTAGCTCTTTTCAGCAATTATTCAATTTGCAAGGATTTTAAGTAGTAATTTTAGATTCTGAGAGTTTGATATATTGGTAATGGGAATGCAAACGGACACAATCTCTACAGTGGATGATATACATTACGATTCTCAAAAACTTACATACCCTTTCACCTAGCAATTTCACTTCTAGAAAGGTATCTTCTGGAAATCAGTCATTTTGTACAGATGATTATCTTCAAGATTGACTGTATCATTGTTTACAGATTACATTATAACAATCAAATTGTTAAACAATAGGAAATTGATTTTAAGGTTATAGTACACCCAGGAAATAGAATATTCTACAGTTATCTAAAAAGAAAAATATTTAATGTGGGAAAATGTTTACAATGTATAGAGATTATAAAACAATGTATAGTATGATGGCATTTTTGCAAATATAAATGTATAGCTATGCATAGAAAAATAAGTGAAAGTACAAACATCCAAATGTTAACAGAAATAGGGTGCCCCTAGGTGGGAGGATTACAGTGAACTCTGTGTGCATGTACGTGAACATTTCCGTATTATCCAGCTTTCCAGAAATAACATGTTATTTCATTCTATAAAGCTGCAGACTCCAAGCCCCAGGCCACAGACCAGTACTGGTCTGTTGCCTGTTAGGAACCGGGCTGCAAAGCATCATCTGTATTTGCAGCCGCTTCCCATCGCTCGTTTGCAGCACGGCCTGAGCTCTGCCTCCTGTCAGATCAGTCACTGTCTCCCATCACCCTCAGATGGGACCATCTAGCTGCAGGAAAACAAGCTCAGCGCTCCCACTGATTCTGCATTATGGTGAGTTGTGTAATTATTTCATTATATATTACAATATAATAATAGAAATAAAGTACACAGCAAATGTAACACACTTGAATCATCCCAAAACCACACCTCCAACCCCCACCCAGGTCCGTGGAAAAACTGTCTTCCATGAAACCAGTCCCTGATGCCAAAAAGGTTGGGGACTGCTGCTATAGAGAAGGAATATCAAATCTCTTTATGTTGTGAAATCCTTTACTATTAGTTTTAAAAACTAAAACTAATGAGACTGTTAGCTCAGTATGTTTTTCACATTTGTTTTTGGGAAGAGAGAGGTGGGAAGCAGTTACTATACCTAGAAGCATGTGACATAGAAGGGAGCCCTTCCTATCACACACGCATCTGACCTAAATGTATTTTCAGTCAGATTTCATATATGAACAGTATGAACAGTATCTTTCAAAGAAAAAAGTTAAATTAAGCACCAGTAAAACATCACCATTAGCATTTGAAGTTGATCTAATATTTTATTCTTCCTTTCAACACTTTTAAAGACTCTAACATATTAGACATAGAATTTTTTGATAAGTGTTAATTTCTCTGGAGACAACTATATAATCCTTTAAAATGACATGAACATGTATGTATGAGATTGAGATTTCTGCAGCCTATATATGCCTCTTTTGGGGGGAAAAAAAGCAATGTACTGACAATTCAATTGAAATTAAAAAAAAAAAAATTGGTTTCCTTACCAAATACTAATGTCCCGTACATGAACCTATCATCTGTGAGAGCAATGAACTCAAGTCAGGTGAAGCACAAGAACAGGTACTCCTTTCACCTAGTTCAGTTAGCTTGGACTTTTCCTATACCTCATTCCAGTCCAGGCAAATCTGGTTATCTAGAACGACCCTCCACCCTCCAGATCTACTCAAAATACTCCTTATTCCTGATCAGAAGAGAGAACATTCTTCCTAAGGGAAGACAGAAAAAGGAGACAAACATTTGTTAAACATTTTCTATGATTGTCCTGCTAGGTTTTTCACATCTAGTATCTCAATACCCCATGCAAACATGCATACAATTCATTAGATTGCTCCCTTCATTACTGAAAAATAGGAGGGAACTACGTGTTCCTACTTCATTTTAAGTGCCTGGGACAACTAAGTATTTCACTGAAAGACATGTAATAAATGCTGTTTGATAGAGGTAAGAATAAGGAAAAAGCAAAGTTATCTGCTTTCATTTGGCTTAAAGAAAAAAAGTATGCTCTACTAATATGCTAAAATATCAGACCAACACATGACATACTGCAAAACTTTAATACAATGTGGTAAAACACAATATTCAAATATTAAACTTTTCAAACACATGAAAGTCTTCTGAAAGTCAACAAACTGAGCTTTTTAAATGCTACCTTTGTGTAATTTTATAAAATTCTTTCCCTCAACAATGTCTGACACTGATCTTGATACTTGTTAGAAAGTCTGATGTAAGATTATGACACCTCAAGAGTTGGTGACTTAGGAGATTATTCCAACGCCCATCTTCAGAATTCATCATCAGAGGACTGACCATCATCTTCATCCCTTACTTCTCGGTACTTCCCTGAAGACTCCCCTTCCGGATTATAACTCTGCATTTTAATATTCAGTCTTTCAGCTAATTTTTGCGCTGCAAGCTTCGCTTGCATCTCCTTTAAAACAAAGAGCAAAGCAAGAAGTTACACATTCACATCTCTTCCTTACAACTTTTCAATGGAAAGTTTTTCAAACAGAATCCGAAATAGAGGGGCATAACCCCACTTAGCCACTTTGTGATCTTTCTAGTAATACAAGCCTGATGGCTTTGTCCTACCTACCACAGGTACAAAAGGGCAATGCTTCTGAGAGCTACTAGTCTGCTATAGTTGTAGTTACCAACTTCCATTAATAAATGAGATTGCATTGAAATATCCTACCTCTGTACTAGAAACTGAGTAATCAGCTTAGCGCTACAACAGTTATAAACACAGACACATTGAGTACGTGGGCACATGCACATGTACAAGGGCTATCCAGAAAGTATCTAGCCATGTAGTATGTTCTATATTAACAATGGCTGGATACTTTCTGGACAGCCCACACACACGCGTAAAATCTGACCTATCAAATGTCAAAAATCACTAATGCTGTATTGATTTCTGTAATTGACCGAACCTTCTTTCTTAAATTAAATCATGGCTTCTAGGCTTTAGAGTTATATTTCAATGGCACAGTGAAAATCAAGAAATTAACACTAAAAAGCTGCCTATTCCTCTCCAAATAAAGTCCTACAGAAAATTAGCATCCAAGTAAATTTCAGACATGTCAGTGCTTATGTACACCCAATGACTTTACCACCTACTAATAGCAGGTGGCAATGCTCATTCCTGATTCTCCTGTTTTTTCGTTTCACTTGAACTTCTTGATATCCTTTCCCTCAGGGCATGAATATTACAGGTAGGTATAAGTGGGAACTACTACTCTGCCAGGAAAACCAATTTCAAGCTGAAGGGTTTAATTCAACCTAAAAATTTCTTAGGACAGGCATGTAAGATCCCAGAGATAATTTAGAAAACACTTCTCAACGCTATAGTCATAACTAGGCATAACTAGGCATAACTAGTCCTGAGAGGAAGAAAAATAGCTTTTAAAAAATGAATGCCTTGAAAATACCAATCCATGCCAATTGCACTTTTATGAAAAGCCAAAGCAGATTAACAGTCTCATTTTATACCAGTTAGTGCGTAGTACCTGCTAAAATCTAGCTAAGCAATATCTAGGAAGTGAGACAGGATGCTGTTCTCCTGAAGGCTCAAATTATTACTATCTAAGTATTATGTAACCCTTTCTATTCTCCCTATGGTCCTCACACTTATTTTCACTCATCCTGTTATTCTGTACACAATCTCTCAACATACATATTTAAAGTTCTATGTAAAACACATGGATTTCTGGAGAAAGCGCTACTTAAAATTAAGTTACCAAAAGTAGGAGATTCTTCTCTCTTCACATGTGCCTGCAGACTATGCTTTGAAGCACAGAGTCCCATTGTCTGTTGGCAACACAACACTGTCCTCCCACCCACTCTATGCCCTCCCCTATATTGCAGGAGATGGAAGCCTGCGAACTGTATTTCCCTGATTCAAAATAGGGTTCTGGGTTAGATTCCACTACTCAGAAGCTGTCGAATGAGTTTTACAAGGTGGAAGAAAGAAAAACGATTCTACTGCTATCCTAACAGAAGCAGGCAGATTCATGAGTTTTAAGAAGTGAAATTCTACAGTTGTCTCCCCATGTTTCCTGGCAAATCACTACCTGATGCTGCAGGTAGCTGTGATCATCTCCAGCTGTTTTCCCCAGTTCTAGCAACTTTGCGACTCTCTGAAAACTGGTGACACATGTCTGAGAGCTAATGGCATTAGCTAACCATTTCTCTAGCACCCAATCCCTTCTATTAAATCCCTTCCTCTGTGAACTACTTGGAGTAAATTCTGACTCACATAAGCAGCATCCAACATACAGATAAGAAAAAATTAACACTCTAAGTACCTCGTAATTCTGTTTCTGCTGTTTCTGAAGTGCCAAAGATTCTTCTATGGAGAGCAGCTGTGTGGGCATATGGTGAAGCGGTAGAAGCCGAGCTGCAGTGATGTCATCAAGATGCTGCTTATCCCTGCGCCGCCGCTCTTCTGAGGAAATAGGAGACCCTCTCCTCTGACAATGACTAGATGAATCATTGTGTCGAGAAGGTAATCTGAAGGAGGGAATGCTTGTGTTATGCGATCAGACTATTTTCTTTTTATAGACACATTTAAAACATTCACACACACAAATGGCCTTTAACCTTAACAATTAATTCTTCTATAAAGGTAATAGTAAGCAGTTTACCAATATTCAAGCCTCTGACAGAAAATGGGGGAGTATGTATATATAGGCTCCTTGACTTTTCCGTCCCTCTTCAATCTTTCTACTTAAACTAAGCTAATTTTGATTTATTCATTCAAAGAACATTTGCAAAGGGGCTTACTGTTCAGTAGAGGGAAATAAACATGTAGTTTCAGTGCAAAATAATACCACAGGTACTATGACATCTCTACACAATACCCTGGAACATAAAGGAAATTGCCAGTTCTAGGGGGAGACAGGAAGGTTATCAGAAAAGCACCAAAGAAGCAAGATTTGAAGTCTTGGAATAGTAAGTGCTCTCCATGTAAATGGAGAAGGACGTCACAGCAGACAGTGAGGGACAACATGGCCACAGTATACAGAAGTACAGAAGGTGGAGAGTACAGAAAAGGCAACCAGAAAGCAAGCTAGGGAGTAGGCTGGGCCCACACTGCAATGCAGAGTTCTACTCTATGTAAGAGGTTCAGATTTGCATCTTACAAATTTATGCTGGTAGCAGAGGAGAGGAGGGACTGGTAGTTAAGACCAGAGGCAGGAGGAAGCCACAGTTATAGCCCAAGAGAGGGTTAAGAGCCTTCACTCTGGCAGGAGAGAGGATGAAGAAAGATTACAGAGATAAAGATTAGGGAAGTATATTACATAGGTCTTCACGGCAAGCAGATATGGGGATGAGGAAAAAGCAAGATAAACCAGGAGGTGCTAGCACTATTAGGGCACACAGGGGACTGTTAGTTTGGGAACAAACAGGAGTTCTACCTTGTACATGATGAAACTGAGTGTCACAGAGCACCCAAGTGGTCAAGTTTCATAGCTAACTGGTCTTGTAAACCTAAAGTTCTGGGAAGATCTAGGCTACAGGCGGATGGGCGGCCTCCAGCATCCAGGTAATATATGAAGCCAAAAGAGCACACAGAAGGCCAAAGGAAGAGCAGAAAACAGCCAAAGGACATTACCTCATCCTACTTTCTAACTTCCAAGCTGCTCCTCACGCATGGAAGCCTCTGAATCCCTATCTGTGGCCTATGGACTCCTCCTGGCCCAGCCTTTCCTGATCTCTTAACTGCTCAGGAGGTTCCTTTTCTTAAACTTCCTAACTCTTGGTAGCCCTCATTGCTATTCCCTTATCTTCCTGCCACTCCCAGTTAAGTGACCATAACACAGAACTGGGGCCAACATATTCTTTGTCTATGTATTGACTACATGATGCTTCTTGTTTTCTAAAATGTCCTCCTAGAAGTGAAGAAAGATACCTCACTGTATACAAGATGAGAGAGTACGTGATCAAATTAATGTAGTATATCCTGGGTTTCTATACAGTAGAAATAAAACATTTTGAGGTTTAAAAAAAACGAATGGTGGGATAGGGTTATACTTTAAAGTCTCTAACACACAAAAAAAGCATGTTTTAGGTATTCTTAACCAGACATTTTTGATTTTTCAAAGAAAGGTAGTACAGTAGTGGTTCGACTTTGTATCTGATGTTACATCCTTGTAAATACAATATAGAAGGGTACCAGTTACTGGATTTGAATGTTACATTTGCTACAAGTAAACAATTCTTTTTTCTTCAAAGAGCTTTTATGTTTCTGGAAACTGAGAAACACAACTATGGCAGGAACTTAGAAGCAAGGTTTTTGCCCATCCTGCCTGAATCTGTTTTCAGTTTTGTTTTTAACCCCCTCTCAAATCCCTTCCCTCTGAAATTGATATTATTACATAGTTTAACTTTTTTCCAAGTGTATAAACCTTGGGTCCTGGTCTAGATCTTAAACTCTTGAGGAGCAGAATCATTACTTCACTGTGTACCCACAGCATCTGTGGGTTATATACAGTGAGCACCTAAATATTTTTTTCTGGGAAAGTCTATCAGCTCCTGCAATTGTTTTTCCCTTTGTTTATGGACTAATCAAAGGGGTTCTGAAAAAAAAAATCACAATAAATGTTCTCTCCAACTGTGTTTATTATGAAATATTAGCTAAGCATCCTGAAATTTAATATTCTTCCATCTGCTATTTAAAACCTTTCCAGGCCAGGCACAGTGGCTCACGCCTGTAATCCTAGCATTCTGGGAAGCTGAGGGGGAAGGATTGCTTGAGTTCAGGAGTTCAAGACCAGCCTGAACAAGAGCAAGACCTGTCTCTGCTTAAAAAATAGAAAAATTAACCGGGCACGGTGGCACACACCTGTAGTCCCAGCTACTCAGGAGGCTGAGGCAGCAGGACTGCTTGAGCCCAGGAGTTTGAAGTTACAGTGAACTGTGATGATGCCACTATACTCTAGCCCAGGCGACAGAGTGAGACTCTTATCTCAAAAAAAAAAAAAAGACCAGCCTAGTCAACATAGCAAGACCCTGTCTCTACAAAAAATAAAAAAGTTAGCTGGGCATGGTGGCACGTGCCTGTAGTCCCAGCTACTTGGGAGCTTGTGCCCAGCAGTTCAAGGCTGCAGTAAGCTATGATCACACCGCTACACTCCAGCCTGGGCAACACAGCAAGATTCTATCTCTAGTAAAAAATAAAATAAAATAAAAACCTTTTCAATGATTTGGTTTCAAAACTAAAGTAGTATTTTTCAACATGAATCTTCCACTCCAGGCAGGCTGGTCTCATTGTTTCCACAGTATGTTCATCCCTAACTACAAGTATTTCTCACACAAAGCCCACTGAACTTAAAGCATTCTCCTAACATTTTGAGCCTAACAGATATTATGTTTCTGTTATAGGCTTGTTTTTGATGGTACTTACACATTGGTTTTAAACTTATGTGGTGGGGGCACTGGGTTTTTGGCTCGCATTTCTAGCACTTCCATGTAATGAGGTTTCTTCTGAGTCCCACTATAAAGATCTGTCAAGTTCTCAGCACTTGTGTTTTCTTCTGAGTGGCATTCACCTTGGTCTTCAACTGTGACCCTTTGTAACTTGTCAATAAACAGATTGTCAAAGCTGCTGGAGATGTCTTCTGCTTGACTTGAAACACAATGCTGAGGGAGACACTCGTTAGCTTCAGATGAAGAAGGTGGCCTGGCTCTGTTTCTGGAAGCTGGGCACTTGTTCACTGCACACTCAGCCTCTGGAGTCTCTTCATCACCTCTACAAGTAGGATGTACAAGTCCCTGTTTTTGTGAAGTGGTTTTAGATGACTTGATGTTATCTACAGAGGAACTGCCAGGAACTGATGATGAAGTATCAAGCATCTGGTCAGAATTCTGGGCCTTACCTGTGTTCACATCAACTTCTGCAACTGCTTTTTGCCTTAGCTTACAGTCTACACTAACAGGATGAAACAGTTCACTTTTTCTTCTAATCTCTTCACATTCTGCAATGGCAGCTTTCAGTTTGGCAACAGAGTCTAAGATCCTTTTACCTTTGTCGGGCAATTTGCAAATGAATTTTCTGTCAAATGGAAAAGGACATACATATATTATAGCCATGTTTTAAAACTTGAGATATAACATTTAAAATGTAAATCATTATCTTCAAAGGGAGAAAAGCTAATTTTTAAGTCAAATCTGATCTCTAACTGCCCGGAAACAGGAATAAAACAAGACAGTGATCATCCCAATACCCAAAAAAACAAGGAGATGTGAAAGGATAGAGAATATGCACCTCATTTGACTCATCTAATTGGAATTAGAATTTCAGCAAAAATATTTTAAGCAAATAATCACACAAAACATTAAAAAAAAAAAAAATCAGCAGTTTTTGAAGTGTGATCTCCAAGACCTGGGGGAGTGGAGAAATGAGTAAGGTCAAAACTATTTTCATAATGATACTAAGACATTATTAGCCAATTCCCTCTCGTTTTCTAACATGGGTAGTACAGTGGAGTTTTCCAGAGGCTAAATGATGTGTGATGACACCATTGCTCTGGAATGGAAATGTGTGCTTGAGTATCCTTGTGTTTTACAGACCTCCCAGTTGTATTTCTGATAAATCCATAAATATCACTAGATATCACACACATAAACCCAGAGCTCTTTGGGATGCTCAATGATTCTTAAAAAGTATAAAGGGGTCCTGAGACCAAAAAGTTAATTTGCTGCTATAGATTAAAAACCCATGCTCACAAAGTCAAAACACCTGTCTCTACTAGGAAGCCCCCACATGATTATTGGTCCCTTTTGCTGGGTGACAGAAGTTCCTTTTCTGATTCCCTTTTCTTTAGCTATATAATAAATGAAAAGGAAAAGGTTACATCTTAGGTCCTCTATTTTTTCTGACACTGCATTCATCCCCACAATTTCAACTATTAATTCCTTGCAGTTGAGATTCCTGTATTTTCCCAGCCCTCTCCTCTCTTGAGTCTCATGACCATTTCTCTGGCTAAGTATTCAGTTTTTATTTAACCAAATGTCTGTCCTGCTGTCCCCTCAACTCAGCACACCCTAAATAAAAATTGACCTTGGATCTATTCCTCTCTCCCAATTTTCTTATTTTTGTTAGTGTTCTCCATAAAGATTGGGAACTTCAGCCATCTCTGTCAACTACATATTCAAACTATTCCATGCTTGATGAAGTTTTCCCAATCCCAAAGTCACCTTACTAGTTCACTTTCTTACAACCCCCTTGTTGGAAACCTCTCTGAAAATATCCTCCTACTGTCTTCTGCCTTTTATTCCTTTCTGCACTAAGCTGCTAAACAAAGTTGCCTTTAAAAAAAAAGAAAATCACTTGTATCACATCGCTCCCCTGCTAAAATCTGTTAAGTCTGCCAGCTGAGTGAGAGTTGAACTTTCTCGGCCTAATAGACCACTCTTTATATCACACTCTTCCCGTTTCCTACAGCTCCAGTAAGAATAGGATCAAGAGATGAAATCTGACGATTTATTTTAGGAGGGGGGTTGAGGGACAGGGAGGGGGGACAAAAAGGTTTAGAATACAGACTCTTGCTTCATGAAACCGACATAGTAGCTGGGTAAATAAAACCAACGAGGAGCTACTGACTGGCTGAAACACTAAGCAGCTTCACCGGCCATCCTCGCAGGCGGTGTGTGCCTGGCCAGGAGGAGGCAAGGCTTGGCGGCCGCAGGCCTGCCACCATCCCACAGGACTGAAATGGATCTGCCGGAGGCAAGGTCACCTTCCAGGGAAGGGAACAGAGTGGGGGAAGGGAGGGGAGCGTCCCAGGGTGCCTGAACCGAAAGAGCCGGGCGGTGACTCGGCGGGACCCCAGCTTACTCGTTGCGCAAAAGTCTCTCCTGGCGCTTCAACATCTCCCGCAGCTCCGCCAAACTCCGCTGCCCCAAGTCCTCGGGAGCTTGGGGCTCGAAGCCGCGGGGCAGCAAGGACATTCTGAGGGGGCTGAGGCTGGCGAGGCGGCGGGCACTCGGCTTCCTCCGCAGGCCCCGCCGCTAGCGCCGGATCCGCGGCCGGCGGCGACTCGGAGCCACGAGCGGGAGTCGCCATTTTCCCGGAAGAACAGGTCTTCTTCGAGCCGAATCGAGCTTTATTGAAACGCCGGAAACAAACATCTGCCGGGAGAGGGGGTGTCAGGCGCAGCGCCAAGGGGCGGAAGTTACGTATCATGACGTCAGGGCCTCGGCTTGGCGCGCTGTCGCGGGACGTGTGGGGCCGTCTGTTTGTCGGCTGTTCATCGATTTATACAAAAAGTATTGAGTGCCGCAGTGACCTAGCCAAACACAGTATATTAGTAAACAACCACGGCCTCTGCTGTTACAGAGTTTACAAAGTGGCGGAGGGGATAGACGTTAATAAAACTATGTAATAGTAAGATTGGGATGGACATCCAGGAAGGTATCTCTGAGAAGTGAAATTTAAGTCGGAACCTGGAGGATGAGTTAGCCATTAGCGAGGTAGGGGAGAATGCAGGATAGGATTTGGGAGACCCTGGCCTATGTGTGGTGCCTCCTAGCTCAGCTTAGTGAAGTCCTGGAATGTTAAAAGTTGCAAAGTTCCTTAGAGAACATCAGCGGTTCTTATTGGGGCTCTATGGCATTTGGAACAGGACTTTACTCGTTTGTGGCACCGTGACATTGCAGAACATCTGGTATCTCTGGCTTCTGCCCACTCGTTGCTATGACACTCCCAAGTCATTGTAGCAATCCAAATACCACCCCCCCACACACACATACACGAAACATATTTCTAAAGGCCCGTAAGAGAGGTGATGGTAGGTGGGAGGTGCTGTACAAGCTGGTTGAGAATCTATCTTTTATAATTCTCCATTTTGCCTCCACATCTAGACTAGCCACAGTGACATGGGCCAAGTGGCAGGAACTTGGGCAGCAGAACCATGATTAGTGGGGAGTTAGTCCAAAGAGAATTTAAAGGGGAGGGTAGCTGGAGATTTGGACCGCATAAGGTCACTGGGAATAATGATCACCAGCAAAGGAGCCCACCAGCATCATTCTTTTAGAAAAACCAAGATTTGATTGGTGACCAGACTGTAGGGTAGAGAGCTGACTGAGGAGGGGGAAAGCTGGCTTTTGCTTTGCCCCTACTATGTGCCTGACCTTTTAATTACACTTTACTAGTTTCATATAATCATCATAATAAATAGACCAATGGAACAGAATAGAGAACACCAAAATAGGCTGTGCATGGTGGCACGTGCCTGTAGTCCCAGCTACTCGGGAGGCTGAGGCAGGAGGATTGCTTGAGCCCAAGAGTTTGAGATTGCTGTGAGCTAGGCCGACGCCATGGCACTCTAGCCCAGCAACAGAGAGATACTCTGTCTCAACAAAAAAAAAAAAAAGAGAGAACACCAAAAGCAGCCCATACATACGTGAAAACTTTTTATTTTTAAGAATTGAGACTTAGAATTAGTGACGAAAGAGTGAATTTTCATAAATAATGCTAGGGAAATTGGTTGCCTGTATGGGAAAAAAGTAGTTTCCTACTTCCAACACACTTGAGAATTCCAGGTGAATTAACAAATTACTGTTGAAAACTGAAAAAACAAAGGTTTACAGAAAAATACTTCAATGATCACAAGTTTAGGAAGGATTTCTTAAGATACACATTATAATCTCTATAGGAAATAATTTATAAATTCAACTACATTAAGGCAAAAACTTCTATAGTACAAAAGGGGGAAAGCTACTATGCATATAGTCAGCAAAGAGATATCCAGAGTATAAAAAGAATTCTTACAAATCAGTAAGCAAAACCAGTCAACAAAAAAAGGAAGAATACACACAGTTCACAAAAGAGGAAACTGGAAAAGACAGAAAACATGTATATTTTTAATCCTCAATTTCGGGGAAATACAAAGAAAAACAAAAATCTTAAAAATCTAAAAGTCTTTCTGATTGAAGAAACGGGAACTCAGGTATTGCAGAAGGGAGATTGAATTGGCAGAAACTCTTCGGAAAGGAGTCCAACCACATCCAGTAGATGTGAAGATGTGCCCACCTACAATCCAACACACGGCCTCTGTGTATATAGCCCTGCTAAAGAGAATCTGTACATATGCTAAAGAAGACTTGCGTCAGAACATTCATGGCCACGTTGTTTGTAGTAGTAGTGAAAATTGAAAACTACATCAATTTCAATGAAGGAACCATATTTACAGGTATCAATACAGTTTAATCTCCACAATATAAGGGTAAGTGAAAAAACCAAGTTGCAGAACAATACCATTTATTTTAATATGAATGACATGGAAAGTAATACTGTGTATTTCTTTTAAGTCAGAGTTAATGAGGTATAATTTACATATAGTAAAATTCACCCTTTTTAGTGTAATAAGTCTCAGTTTCGACAAATGCATACAGTTCTGTGATGATCACCACAATCATGATATAGAGCAGTTCCATCATCCCAAAAAAGTATAGCTACCTGCTTCACCCAACCTCAACCCCTGGCAATTACTGGTCTATCTTCTGTCCCTAGAGTTTTGCCTTTTCCATAATGTCATATAAATGGAATCATACAGTAACCTTTTGGGTCTGGCTTCTTTCACTTAGCACGATGGTTTTGAGATTCATGCATGCCATTGCATGTATCAGAAGTTTGTTCCTTTTTATTGTTAAGTAGTATTATATTCTGTGGTTATAGCATTCTATGGATTTGTTTATGCATTTAGCAGTTGAAGGATAACTGTTATGCATTTAACAGTTGAAGAGTTGTTTTCAGTTATTGGTGATTATGAATCAAGTCACTGTAAAAATTTGTGTATAGGTTTTTTTTTGTTTGTTTGTTTGTTTTTGAGACAGAGTCTCACTGTGTTGCCCGGGCTAGAGTGCCGTGGCATCATCCTCGCTCACAGCAACCTCAAACTCCTGGGCTCAAGTGATCCTTCTGCCTCAGCCTCTTGGGTAGCTGGGACTATAGGCATGCGCCACCATGCCCGGCTAATTTTATATATTTTTAGTTGTCCAATTAATTTCTTTCTATTTTTAGTAGAGACAGGGTCTCGCTCTTGCTCAGGCTGGTTTCGAACTCCTGAGCTCAAACAATCCGCCCGCCTCAGCCTCCCAGAGAGCTAGGATTACAGGCATGAGCCACTGCGCCCGGCCTGTGTATAGGTTTTTGTGTGAACATAAGTTTTCATTTCTTTCAGGAGTGGGATCAGTAAGTCATACGGCACATGAATGTTTAACTTTATAAGAAACTGTCAAATTGTTTACAAAGTTCCTGTGCCATTTTGCTGTCCACAAACAATGTCTGAGAGTTCCAGTTTTTACACATCCTCATTGGCACTTGTTTTTTGTTTGTTTGTTTTGTGTTGTTTAATTTTAGCCACCAGCCTTCTTGCCCAAGTGCTCTGGCTCAGACATTTAAGAAGGATTGCAGAACTTGCACCAAACATTTTTTATGCTATACATTATGTTTTAAAAGGAACATGGAGGACATTTTCTCCATGAACAAGTGACATAATTCACGAGAGTTGAGTGGGGTGAGTTGGAAGGGAGAGGATGGGAACCAAGGGTCATAAATAAGAATGAAGCAAATTCTATTTTCTTTCATGATTGTTTTGAAGCATCCAATTGGGAATGCTGAATTTTTAAACAAACCAAACAACAGCCATAGTTAATGAAAAATTAATTAAGAATAGCACACCTAAGACTTTATTGAATGATAATGGCTGACATTTGTGTGCTATTTTACACCAAACCTCCCCTTCCAGTCAGTTCCCCAAACTGCTTCCTCTCAGTTTACAAGGGGAGAGACAAGAACTAGGACCTCTGGACTGGTTCATCTATAGGCCACTGTCCCCCACTGCCCCATGTACTCTCAGTGCAGAGCCTCACAGACAAGCAGCAGGAGCCTGGCCCACCAGGGACAAGGAAACAAGGGAGAGGACAGGGTACTGGAGTTGGGGTGTGAGAAGAACAGTGAAAAAAGGAAAGAGAAAGGAACTAGTAAAGAAGGAGATAAAAAAGTGGAAGGGGCAGAAAGAGGAATCACATTTCTCTGCACAGAAATCAGAAACATCAAGCTCCGTAAGTCCTTAGGAATTCACAGATAGATGCCTTATTTCCCTTCCACCTCTAACATTCTATACTTCTACAAAATGTGGCATTCCCCCTCTTTATATTTCACCGTGATCCCACGGCCACAAAAGATTTTCCTCAGCTACTCAAGGGTGTAGGTTGTAAAGTGCATGCACTCCACACTGAAAGTAAATTCCTGCATTAGTTATCCAAATTGTTTAAAATGAGGAACCAACTTTTCAGCTCATATCTCCCTTTTTATCAGCAAATAGTAAATTTAAAGCCATTTGCTGGGGCTATGGTTCCTGGGTGACAGACTGTGGCCTATTAAAATTAATCCTGACAGAAGATCCTCGCTGCTTTCTCCAAGCCATTCAAGCTGCTGGTCTGTGAACAGGATGAACAGACGGCCCATCCCAGAGGGTCTGAGGGAGGAAGAGCGTTAAAATGGCTGCCTGCATCTTTGTTTGCTCAGCTGCTCGGAAAAACTAGGACTAAGGGAAATGGGATTAATCAAGGGGGCAGTTGCCCATGGAAAAAAAAACACAAAGACTCTGGTGAGAAAATCTCAGGTTCAAGTGGGAGGAAAAAAACCTCTTTCTCTTCAGACCTTCACATGGTTGAGTGTTGTCTAGTGACAAACGTCCCATTTCAGAACACTACTGTGTTTTATGATCTTGATAGTATAGGAAGACATAATTTAAATATATATATATTAAATATTTGGTTCTCTGAAATTTCATGTAATTTTAGTTTTTAATTAGCAAATTTAATAAAGATTGTTGGTTAGATATGTGACCAATTGTGATTGAATAATAAACCTTTATAAGATTTTTTTTTTAATGAATCAAGTCACAAACCAGAAAAAAAGTCCTCTAAAGAGCACATGTACTGATCTGTGGCACAGACCATGTAGACATTGTAGCCAAGGCCCCTCCTCTAAGTTTAGGATATAAAATCTTGAACAAGATTTAAAATACCTTCCCGTTGCCTTGATTTATTTTGCTCCCCTTTGACAAATTAACTGAAATTCCACCAATAAGAAGATTATTTGGTTAACAAGGATCTTCCT